TATTGAAACTTTATTTGAATTGGATTTGGAATATGCTCATGAAGCTGAAAAGGTAATGCTTGAGTATAAAAAAAATAGGGTTGTTAATGGAGTAGCATACTCTGGAGCTACTTCAGGTTGATCCAATCAAAGTTGGAATGGGTTTAAAATATGACTATAAATTTGGGGCAATCTGGAGTAGAATCTAGAGAAAACATAATTTAATGAAGTGAATTGAAGATTGAATCAATACAGTTCAAGCTAATTCATTGACAACAATATAACATATAAATGTGTATCTGGAGTAACCACTTAGTGGGAGTTGCTACTTCAGATATCTAAAAAAAGTACCTGAATAACATAACTATTTAATGTATTCATATATAATTCCAGGGCTTAGTTTCAGTTAGATGCAACATCATATATCCAAAGTAGCAATTCCGGATAGACGTTACTTAGATACAACATATATGCATATCGTGTCTGAAATTGCTATCTGTCTGGAGTTGAAGATACATCTGACTAAAATTATGTATATAATTATAATAGTAATACAAAACCTTTATTAAATAAGCAGTCACCTAAAATGGTTTTTTTGCATTGAATTAAGGAGTAATTTTAGGCAGATGTTACTGAAGTAGCAACTTCGAATACGATCATGTACATATATATTTTTTATTTACCAATTATTTATTTTTAAAAACTCGTTAACAATAGGCAGGAATAACTGGCCTAAAACGCGTAGAATCTTTAAATGATGATCCAATTTTTATAAATTCAATGGCAAATATTGTAAAAGATCATCTAGAAAAGGTTAAATCTGGTAATTTCTTTTCAAATCAATATTTGTTAAGATGCCCAAAATGTAAAAAAGATTCATGTCAAAAATCTAGAGATTTCTTTAAAGAGCAAATATTTAAAATTTGAGATCTGGTTATTTTTAAATATTATTCAAATAAAACTTGGCAAGTTTTTTTTTTGTTAAGAAAATTTAAACAATTATTGAATTTATTAAATTATAGATATTTAAAAAGAAATTTCATTCAAAATTTAGACTTATTTAAAAAACAATCTTGAATATTAACTATATACGTATTTAAAATACCGTACAGAACTGCCTTTAGTATCCGCGTCTTATCAAAAAAAAAAACCAGATTATACATAGCAATATACCCATGGGTACTTGACCAAGAGTGGGTACACAAGCTGAGGGATATTATTGTGACATGGGGTATTATACTTTGGGAGTCTAACACTATAATCCAGAAAGTTTATAATTAAACTTCGATTACATTCTGAATTTAATTAACTCGGATCTTTTACAATTTTTGAAAATAAGATATTAAATAAGGAGGTACTAAAACCAGTACGGTGCGGTGAGGTTTATTTTGACTTGCATTTTTGGTGCAAGTATAGTTTATAGATTAAATAGACTAACATGCTTGGTAGCATTTACATTTTGCATGCTTATTATCAAGAAGTTTAATGGCTTATTTTATTAATTCTTTATATATGGGTGTCGTCAAAAGAAAACCCGACAATATAAAAATAGATCACATAGATCACTTATGAAATTCATAAGTGATCTATGTGATCTATTTTTAGATTGTCGGGTTTTCTTTTGACGACGCTCATATGTAAAACATGCATGATGAGAAAATATAATAATCAAAGGACTAAACCAAACTAGAATATATTTATAGTGTGAATTTGTAAATAGAAAGCACACTATAGTAATAAGCGTAACTGGTTATATTATTTACATAATTACATCATATTGACTAATTACTATAAGATTTCTGATACATTTAGATGTTTGTAATTGACCAAAAAACATCTCTACCTGCGACAAAACAATTGCCAATTTAAAGGTATGAACCTAATTACATTTCTGCATTCATTTCAAGAATAATTTATTCAATAAGAACTCATACAAATATAAATACAAATACAAATACAAATATGGAGCAGATATCAACAATCTGTTCATCTCCAAATTTACATTGCCATTTCCATTTCCAATCTACTTTTAATCTCCTGAAGGCATTTTGAAATTTTCTCTTTAAGTTCCGGGCTAACGTTATCATAGGAACGCGGTAAACATGACCATTCTTTAGCTGCACGTTCTCGAATAGTATTAAAATCATCCCATTCAATTATTTTACCGTGATCATAAACCACACGTAGGAGATTCTCAGGGTCGTTTTCAGGACAAACCTCTTTAGGATAAATAATTGGTACCTGTAATGTGAAAAGGGTTTGAAATTTTAGGAATTAAAAAAAAAAAAAAAACAAAAAAAAAAATAAAGAAATTTATGCTTTACTCCATGTTCATTTTTCTTAACGACGAATTCACCGGGCAAACTAATTTTTCCGGTTTCTGTTTTTGGACTTTTCATAATGTCCCTATAAATACACATTATATATGTTT